AAGAACTTCACCTATGTGAACTTCGAGGTGGTGCCGCCTCATTAGAGAATTGAAGTTTTTTCTCTATAAAAGTTCAACGAAATAGGATTAGTGCAAGGTCATATTAGCACTAAGCGAGTTAGAGGAACTTGTGAAAAGTTTAACACTTGTGTGTGTGATCTCATCGGTATAGTCACAAAGAATAACTGGTTCAAAGCACTTTAGCTACTTGGAATTCTGATAATACTTTATGAGATTTACACTATGAATAGATTCAAATCGAAAAGATATCTAATTTTTATGCATAAGTGTTGATTATTTGATTATGTGATAGACACTGATTTTGAACAAGTGGGGGATTGTTAGAATTTTTGTTGTTCAAAATTTAAATAAAAAAAAAAGATTGGGCTTAACCATGCGGCCGCACGGGTTAAGCCCATGAGGCCCTCCCGAAACTAGGAGGGCCACTTGCACTATAACCATGCGACCGCATGGTTATAGCCCATGCGGTCGCATGGTTATATAAAGTGATCGTTGGGAATTCGTTTTTTACCGTTTTTCTTTTGAATTTGGTGCCTTTTCAACATAATTTTGCACCATTTCGTGGGAACCCTTCAAAGCCTATAAATAGGTGTTCCAATTGCAAAAAAAAAAAAAAACACTCTTGAGAAAATTAAGAAATCCACCACAAAATTATTCTCCCAAATTATCACATAATCAATCCTATATCTATTTTCACTTGTTCTTTGTAAAAGATACACTTTGCTTTTGGTGTTCTTCACACAAAGGCTTGTTTAATCCTACGAACTATTTGCCGGAACTCCTCAAAAGCATTGGAAAGGGGGCAAATAACGTTTGAGGATAGCGTTATCACTTTCGTGTTCAAGCTTCTAATTACATCTATATTCTTTTATTACCAATTTTCTTCTCTTCATTACTTTAAATATCCAACAAACCTTCAGACATTAGGTGATCACAGGGTCTAACATTCTGCATGTGCATCTTGGAGTCAAAAGTGGGGAAGCAACATATCAAATTGACTACTTCTCTTCTCTAGAGAACGAAACTTCGTAAAATGACCATAAAGTCAAATTGCAATCGAAAGTGTGCGTGCACTCCTCAAGGTAAAACCTTCATCAGATCTTGATGTTCTGTTCCAGTTAAACCGTGGGAGATTAGTGAAATGTTATGCCTGAGCGATCCCTATTCAAAGCAATAAAAAATTCATTTATGGGAAGATCTTTTCATTCATTGAACCGATGACCGGTAAATATACACATTTTCCATTCCACTTTTAAAAAAAAAAATGATTACTGCGTCAAACCACAACAGATGTAGCCATAAATTTATCGTTGAACCTCAATTATTTACCATATATCTACAGAAAGCTGGCAAGCGAGCATAACAGAAATATCTATCAAATCCTCGTATTTGCTTTCTTACAAATTTTGAATCAGTAAAAGGCTCGACCGGTGCAACCTAGCTTAAAGCCAAAGCCTAAACAGTGGCATGAAAAAAATGGGGTCATTCATGTCAAAAATTGAAAAAGTGGAAATTACAGATTCTAATAGATTATAAATTCCCATTTCATAAATAAGATGCCATGTTTAATATTTTACTAATCAGAATTTTTTGAATTAATTAATATATTTAAAAATTAATTAAATAAACAATTTCAAACCTAATTATCTCCTCCCTCTCTGCCAATCTCAATTCAATTTCTCTCTCTCAATTCCCCCCTCTCTCTCTGTCCAAAATCCCGTCGTCGCCCGACAAGTGGTCATCGAAAATTCTCCACTCACTCTCTCTCTAAACTGTAATTCTCTCACAGGCACCGATCTCTGTTTCTTCTCTCCACTTTCTCTCTCGCTGTACTCTGTTCATCTCTACCAACACTGGCAACGGAGCAACGAAATTATCACAGCGTCATCTGAGCACCAATCACCTCGCCGCGACTACTGCAAAATCTTCCTTGATCTGACCGTCGCTGTGAGCATCAGAGCCAGCAATTACATCGACCGATCTAAGTAGCATTGTACGCCTTACTCACAGAAGTGCAGGCGCTGCTCACCGTCGAGATCTGCTGCTCTGCAGCTAATGTTTGTGTACGGTAGTAAATAACTGTGACTTGTGGTGGATGGAAATCGTTTGCTGTGCGGACGGTGGCGATACGGATTGTGAATCCGATGCGTGGTGGGAGACGGCACGATTGGGTAGGTAATAGGTGTACTGGTAGGGTGTAGCAGGTGGAAGGCGCCGGTTTGTTTTATGGTTTTGAGTTGAGATTTCCTGGTTAGTGGGTTATGGGTATTGGCCGGTGATTTAGGACTGTTGATTTGCATTGTAGTGGGGTTTATCGCGGTGGTGGTGGGTCTGGCGCAATGATTGTGGTTGTGTTTTTTCTGTGATGTGTTAATTTGTTTGAAGCGATGGTGTTGCAGTCGAGAGTTGGTGGTGGTGGCTCTGGCGGTGTATGGTGGTTGTTGTGGAGGTGGTTTTGCAGTTTGCTTAGATGACGGTGGTCGCGAGTGCTGGTTGGGGTAGATGGGATGGGACGTGGGAGTTAATTTGTGTCCAATAAATAATATGTGACCTAAAAAATATAATTGCACAACTCATAATTTATTAAGTTGTAATCGTAACATTAATTGTGACCAATTATTTTTTAATTTGTGATTAACAAATTAGTTGTGACCAATAAGAATTTTGATTTTGTGATCTATTAATGAATTGTGACCTATGAAATTTTTTATTTGTGAGCAATAAAAATTTTGATTGTGACTGATCAATGAATCGTGACCTATGAAATTTTTGATTTGTGACTGACAAATGAATTGTGACCAATAAAAAATTTAATTTTGTGATCGATCAATGAATTGAGACCTACAAAAAATTTTATTTGTGACCTATAGAATTTTGGATTTGTGACTTATAAATAATTTGTGACCAATTAATTAGATAATCTGTAACCAAATTATATAGATATGTGACCTTACTATGTTTAATTAATAAAATATTTTTTAATCAAATATTTCATAAATAAATTTTAATAGTATCTGAAAATTGAAATTGTAAACCTTCTCCTCTTAGTTTTGAAGTGGGCTATAGATAAACTCTTACAAATGAATTTTTCCCATTGAAAAATATGGTATCCCAAAGTAAGATGATGTAGTATTAAGCGTGGACTCTGCCTTGAAAAAGCCCGAGCTAGCTCAATAGACCAGAGCCCAAACCAGTCGATCACAGTGATTTTCGGCCCATGATGAGCCGATCCTTAAAAATAAAAAGGAAAAAATGAAGCTATAAGCGGCTGTGTAGTTATTGCTCGTGTTGTACTAAAAAAACGCGGGCCGGCTCGACTTGATAAAGTCAGAGCCGAAAGCTCGGGTCAAGTCTAGATTTTTTGGCTGAGTAAAAGTTCTGTTTGGCTTAGGCCAAAAATAGTTCTAAATCATTTTTACTCAATTTGAGCTCGAACCTCAAGTTTCAGCTCATATAGTTGACATCCCTATGTAGCATCTCGAAATGCACATTACACAGAAAATATAAGCATATCTAGAAATAATTGACAAAATAGTGTTGCCCTCATCAAGAAATATCTGACTGCATCTTTAATCAATTTGTTGGCTATAATTTACTTCGCGGGCCGGCTCGACTTGATAAAGTCAGAGCCGAAAGCTCGGGTCAAGTCTAGATTTTTTGGCTGAGTAAAAGTTCTGTTTGGCTCAGGCCAAAAATAGTTCTAAATCATTTTTACTCAATTTGAGCTCGAACCTCAAGTTTCAGCTCATATAGTTGACATCCCTATGTAGCATCTCGAAATGCACATTACACAGAAAATATAAGCATATGTAGAAATAATTGACAAAATAGTGTTGCCCTCATCAAGAAATATCTGACTGCATCTTTAATCAATTTGTTGGCTATAATTTACTTTAAGGATTTTTCTACTTGTACATAAAAATTATACATAAGTAATTATCAAAAATGACTTGGAGGGAAAAGATTGAATAAAAAAGTTGACTGTATTTTAAATTGACAAATGATAGAGTGCCGTATGGATATTCCTCTACGTAAACTTTGATATATATGTCGCAAGATCCATTTTTAAAGTATCTCCCTATAATAAGCCAAACAAACAAAAGAGTGTGAAAAACCTACTTAAATAAATAAGAATTCAGAATATTGCAGCAAAATACATACTCACAGTAATCATAATCGTACTCCAAAATTAAAATCTTACGAGTTACAAGGGATAGAATTTAGTATGGATTTCAATCAATACTTTCATAAAAATTATTTCTTTATTAATTTTTTTAAAGTAATGAATAAAAAGTAGCACAAGTACGTTTAACGTGTCATAATTATCCATAGGATTTATTACGTACTTAAGGAAGAACTGAATATAAAAGTAAAAATAAAATAGAGAATTAGGGTTTCTAAAGAAACGAGAGAAAAGTGGTTTACGAATTCTTTTAATTAATTTATTAAATCCATGTGATGAATTGATAATTGGGTTTGGAGTGTGTGCAGGCACGTGGCTATTTGGGAGTGGCAGTTGCTAGCTAGTTAGTGGTTACCGATTCCATTGGGCTGACTTTATTCATTTTCAAATATAGCACTACAACTTTAAGAATTTATAACTTCGTGTCGACATTCTTTTTATTATCGATAATTTTTCAAAACACTTATATTAACAGTTTACACTATTTTTATATAAATTAAATATTTGTCAGCTAATTACTCTTTCCAGCAGTTCCGTTCAAAGTTGACAAAAGTTATTATAAATGAAATTACAATTAAATAAACAAAAGTGAAATTTAAGAAAAATCTACAATTCATCCGAAGGTTTAATGGAAATTCATTTCTTTTACGCAAAATAAATTTCTAAAATTTTATAAATAATTTTATCAATTGAAATTCTCATAGAACCCAATTCTCTAACGACATAAAAATTTCAAATTTATTAAATTATTTGATCGAGTAAATTCATTCATGAACGGGCATAATTGAGATCAAACTTGAAAACTGAGACTTCATTATATAGATCTAAACAGAAAGTTTGTGACTCAAATATCCTTGATTTCCCCACATAATGTTTACATATGAAAATATGATTAAATAATAATAACGCAGACTTCACAACACAATCCAGTGCTCGAGGCTACAATGTTTAGGCAGCAGCCTTCTGTTTCTTTGGGACTCGGTACGCCCCAACAACACACGCATGGTCTCGCTCAAAAGGCTCGAGAGTAACCTGCTCACTGGGTTTGAACTGTTCAGCTTGCAACTTCTTCACTTCCTGAGCAAATACAGCCTCTGCCGGGACAGTCGAATCTATGCAGTTTGCCTAGACAGATTCAAGGAAGAGTTTCACATAATATTCAGATAACTAAACATTCAATATTTATCTGCACACATGCATTAAATACCCAAACTTGAAAAGGGTGGGCAGTGATGCAATTTTAGGAATATTACACAAAATTATGAAAAAGGTAAGTCAAAATTTTTCCTAAAAATTCGATGTGAACATCAATGAAAAGTAAGAGAAACATGGAAATTGCAACTGAAGATGCTCACTATTAAATAACACAAACCTTGATTGATATTACGAAATGGCCTCCAGCTTTCAAAAAGTACGAGGCGTTCAGTGCTAAAATTCTTGCCTGCAAGAACAAAAGAATAAACCAAGAACACATTTCACAAGCTCATCCAGGAATACCAAAACCACTGTCCCCCTTAGCACGCTAGATATCAAAAGATGTAATAGACAGTCTCATATATCACCACATAAAGGAGAAGCTTCATTTTGGTACACATACACAAAAACAAAGAACTGAATTACTTATCCCACAAAATTTCTCCAGTATTTCCACAAGCTACATAGAAAGCAAACCTGATCGGGCTGAGCAACATCAGAAAAAATCACGTCCACCATGCCAACAAGCATTCTGTATTTTGCTGGATGTCTTGCATCTTCAATGATGGGAATAACATTAGTCCTCTTCTTCGCCATGTTCACCAAGTCCCTACCACTTCTGTGAGAAAATTCCACTGCATACACTACTCCAGTCTGCAAACAGGGTTTCTTAAGCACCGCTCCAAGAAATATATAGCAAAACAATATAGATCCGACAAGGAAAACTACTTACAGGGCCAACAAGATCAGATACATGAGAAACAGTAGTTCCTGAAGCAGCTCCAAGATACAGGACACGAGCACCAGGTTTCTAAACCAATAAACAGACCAGATATGGATTGCACAGATTGGATTATTGGACATATAAAATGCATCATTATTAATAACAAAAGCATGCATCTTATTAGGACATCTTATTTGGAAAATTCACAAACTTACAATCCAAATGTCATCGACTCCTCCAAGAATGGCAGCTGCCAATTTGGAGCGGAAAGGATTCCATACTCTGTATTCAACCTTTGTTCCATCTTCATTCTGACCAATTCAATAAAATACATAAAGCAACACTTGAAAACAGAGACAGCTGAAATCATGGAAAAGAACAACTCTTTGAATAGACAAGTTGACAGCAGGATGCATTTAACTAAATAATAAGCCAAAACCAAACACAAATGCCAACGTATTAAACACGAGGAGCAATCGTGGCTACACTCAAAAAAGTAAATTATTTACTAACGTGTTTACCTTTTCTTACTTTTAAATAAAACAAGTTACAACTTTGACCAATAATGAATGTGCTTATTACAAAACTCAAAACTTATTTATTTACTTTACTTAAGCTTAGCCAAATATGCAGAAAACAAGGACGTCTGACAATATAATAGGCGAGATACCATTGGTATTACACGCACACACAGCAGCGAAAGGAATTGATTTATCAGATATTTACCCATAACTATATGCTTCAAGTAAAATCAAAAACCTATTGTAACATATTATCCTAAAAAACACACACAAATATTCAATTAAATCTCACCTCCAGTCATCAAAATGATAAAACTAAATCAGAAAATGCCGTGAACAGAGTAAAATGAATGCACATAATAATAATAAGAACATATACATAAACTCAAATCCAAACCTGAACAGAGATTCTCTTCTCATTGTAAACAGCTTCACCAGGAACCATATTCTTGGTGCAAAGCGCATCCTCTTTTCCCTTACCAATAAAGACACCCTCATGCCGATGTGGCTCAACTATAACCTTGCTCCCTCCCCTCATCCCTCCCCCTCTTCCTCCCCTTCCGCCTCTTCCACCACTTCGACCACCGCCTCTCTTCATTCCACTGTCGCCACCTCTTCCACCAAAACCACCCCTGCCTCCTCTTCCGCCTCTCCCCCCTCCATCTGCCCTGCCTCCCCTAAAACCCCCACCGCCGCCACGCCCTGCAAAAGTAAAATTAATCAAATATTGAACACAAAATGTTCTCATATATACACAATACATGTATCATGTATGTATATGCAGATATACACCTCTGGTTGGAGTTCTTGCAACCATGGCTACTGAATGACCGTGTATTTGTCCTTTGCAGATGCTAGGGTTTTGTGAGGTTTTAGAACGACGGGCGTGGCAACGGGGTTGAATATTTATAAAGAAATTAAAAGTCTAGGGTTTATGGAGGCCAAAGTAGAATAATTTACAACATAGTCCTCAAATTTAAGTCATTAAACATATCACCCTCATGAGGATTAAAAAATTATTCTTCGACTCCCTATATTTTAATGACTATCAAAAGTAAATATAAATTGATGTATTATATTTTCTCATATTAATATGCATTTTATTGTCTTTTTCCCGTATTATTTGAAAGAATCCCAAGTCCAAATAATTTGCTAGCACATTTTCATTATTTTGTTAAGACACAAAAATATTGAAAAATGCTTGATTAGGCTTAAAAGAGATTATAAGCTCTTAAACGAATTTGAATATTTAATTTATTTATTTTTTTGTTACTCTAGATACAAACAGTGGAATTGATACTTATATTGTTGTTGTGTTGTTTTAACTTGATCTTTTATTCAAACATACTCATCTCTAACATGACATGCAACCAAACCTATAATTTTTGACAATTCAATGTTGAATTGTCAAATTTTGTCAGTTAACATGACATGTGCGCAATATAACTCCTTGAGTAGGAAATCATTTCCACATGTATGATATGTTTAAAAGCAATGTTGAAAAATATAACCATAAGTTTATTTATTATTATCTAATAATCTTTATTTATTCTTCAATGCACTGACCTATTTCAGTTCCACTCACACGATGGATACCTTGCATAATAACTTGTTTCCATGGATCATCATATGACATTAAACAAAATATTAAAATTAAAATTAAAATCTCATCCACTATAATGGGTAGATGCATGTCTCTAACACAAAGCGGCAAGTACCACAACCAATTAAGTTTCGATACAAAGATCCTAACACTGGTTTTCCAAACATTTATACCAATACAAGCCACTTGATAACCACAAAGATATATAAATGTGGAATAACACGTGATGATAAGAGCTAAAGAAATCGAGAATAGTGCAAAACAAATTCGACTCCCAACTCTTCTTACAACGCCGGGAGAAGGGAAGATAATATTAAAATTTAAAGTTTCGTCATAAAATGTCAATCTTGTTAAGAGAAATCAAAATCCTTATTGTTTAGTCTATATTTCGATAATTATTTAATGTGAAATTTATCCCTTGATATGCCCTGTAAAATGATAACTGGTTTGAGCATACCAAACTTGAAACTGGACAGCTGAGGACATAGGAATAAGAATACATAATCCCTTATTAACGCTTCACCCATTGGAAGCTCTTTCTTGCTTTGGCTTTACCGGGCTTTTTCCTTTCCACGACTACTGGATCCCTCGTGAGAAAACCAGCTGAAAGAAATGATATACCGGATCAAGAAGTGTCTAACTATCATGCAAGAGAACAAGATCAAAATGTGAAGTGCGGGAACTTGCTTTGGACACTATTAAAGGGTGATGGTGAAAAGATGAAAAGATTAATAATGGATGCATTTCCTACGAAACATGATCTAGGACAGAAAAAGTGTTTATACATGTTACAAAAATTGGGGAAAATAAGTATGTTCCAACAAGTCATACCGTCTCTGAGAGGAGGTCGCAGGCCTAGTTCCCAGTTTTGCAAGCCAAACGGATAGCTACAACTTGACCCGTTGAATGCCAATTTATGTTACCACAATATGTACAGTACAAGAAGCATACAATCAAGATAGATATCTGGAAACATAAATGAGTTACCTGATCAAAAACAAAAAAGGAAAAACGATAGATATCTGGAAACATAAATGAGTTGCCAAATAAATTGGGTTATGGGGCTTTCTAATTAGCTTACAATTCATCATCACTTAAAGGATGGTATGGTAATTTTCTAAATCAGGGCTGCGTGTCAGAATTAGATTAGACTGCTACTAGATCAGCCAGGGTATTAACACTAGCCGGACCTGAGGAAAGGCCAAGAGGCCACCGCCTTAGGCCCAACTCTTCAAGGGGCCCAAAAAAAATTTTATTTCTTCGTTTAAAACCCACTAATCTCACTCAATTCAATTGTTCAGCGGCATTGTTGAAGAAATCAAAACCTAGATGGCTTGAGCCTTGAGGCTTCCTCATAAATTACTTAATGCGTTGTTTCCTTGGGTCAATGGGTGTTTAACGGCGGGGCTCCTCTCAAACATGCCAGGAAATCTCCCTAAAACTCTCAAGAATTTCATCTCTGAACTCTAGCATTTTTCTTCAATCTTCATCGCTCTCAACTAACAGTTTGTTTCCTATCTTTTTTACATTATAATCTATGTTTTATCAGCCATAATTAATCTTAAATATTGACAAATTGAAAATATGTATTTTTAAAATTTTTAACGGTTTATTTTTCACAGGCTAATTGCTTGCTGCTATAATTTGTCTTCTACTGTTTTAAGAGTGTACCTGGAATTTATTTTATTTTATTTTAGATGAAAAATGGCAGTAGAATAGTGTGATCATGTGAATTGTAGCTAGAGTGGATTAATAGTACACTTTGTTCATTTTCCCCTCCTTCTTGAGCAGATGATATTCAGTTCTCTCTGTGAATATTTTAATTATAACTTATGCAATTGGATAGTATTTTGCAATCAGATAATCCTCCTATTGATTGATGTACTATGGGAAATTTGAGGCCAAGAGTGAAACTATGAAAGGGGATTTTAAGTCTTTGCAAAGTTCAGATTAAGAGTGGCTTCTGCACTTTCAATTGTGACTTTATCATTAGTGGCCTTACGATGAGGAAGACCAAGGTCGAAATACTTTATATCTAGCTCCAGGAATGGAGTATAAGCTGTAAAATTGTATAAAAATTAAGAGTATGGATTAGAGATTCTTTTTCCCGTAAAGAGAAAACAAATGTGATGCCCATACAAAATCCAACTCAACTTATTGAAGTAGAATACTACCTTTTCTTTAATCGACTTTCAATTCAGATAATGCGAGTCATTTCATCACTTGCATAATGTTCTCCATTAAAATAAATATGACCCCGCTCTGAATAGACTGATAGAATCAACCGAATGCGCGCTAACACTTATGAAGGTATTTGATTTATTCTATAATTGTGGACTTCTGTACTCGTGTGCAAATTTCAAAGAAAACAACTAAAAACATATAGGTTCAGATGAATCACAAATAATATCTTTTAATCTTTATTTCTTAAACTAATTTAAGTCCTTTTATACACTAAATTTCAGGCAATGTTAGCTGCTAAGTGATTTGAGTCAGATGCTATGGCTCCTAAATATGCGTATGGAGCTAAAAAAAAAAAAAAGAATAAGATAGAGAATAGAGGCATTAATTCGAAGTCAGGCGGGAGATATGGACAAGTACTTTAACAGTAAGAAAAGAAAAGAGATGAAAGGAACACCAGAAAATTTAGTGATTGAAAAACAACAGAATTAGAATGACAATGATAATGTGGATGAACCGAAAGAGAATGAGAAAATGATTAAACCTACCAATATGTATGAATCAAAGCAGAATGATGAGGATAGTGTTCAACATGAAAATTTAAATCAAGAGAATTTTTTTCTTTGAATTTAGAGGATCCTAGAAATTGGATAGACATTTAAATTGATAAAAAGATGATGGACTTTTTAGTAGAAATGGGTCCAAAAGGAGTTGACGACATCTTTTTTTCCTAAAGATAGCCAAGGTAGATATTTTGAATCATCACAATATAAGTGACTAATGACAAAGAGGCGGATAACTAATAGAAGATGACCAATGTATTCAATTTCTTTGGACAAGATCTTTTGTTTTGCTGCAAATTGTTTAAGATGAAAAAAAGATGAAAATATTGTTCAATTGGGTAATGACAAATACAATGATTGGCATAATGGACATTGGCATCTTACAAAACAGGACGTGGCTAACGAGCATATACATTGTACGACTAGTTGGATAGAACTGGAAAAAATGCTTCGAACAAAGGATACAATTGGCCATCAACAAAGAAAGAGAGCATTGGAAAAAGTATTAACAAGGATAATTGTTATATTGAAAAGATTCGCTAAAAATACTTTGACATTTTGAGAAGATTGTGAGCAACTGTATGTTGAGAATAATGGACTTTTTTGCAAATGATAAAAATGGTTGCTGAGTTTGATCCAATAATGGAAGAACACATTCAACGTGCTCAAGCATGTGAGATTCAATATACATATCTTGTACCTAAGATTCAAAATAAATTGATATAAATTTTGGCAGGCAAGTTGAAAAATGCAATTGTCACAAAAGTTAAACACACAAAATATTTTTCTGTCATATTTGATTGTACTCCAGATCATGAAGAGTAAATATCTCTAGTGATACGATGCGTGGACAATTCAATAAACTCATCGATAATACAAGAATATTGGATCGAATTTTTAAATGTGGGTGATACATCAAGAATTTTGACTTTTCAGTGAGTTTAAAAATGTGCTAAGAAATCTTAAGCTTGATACCGATGATATAAAAGGTCAAAAGTATGATAATAGAGGTAACATGAGCAGGAGACATAAAGGTGTGCAAAGAAGGTTACTTGAAATAAATCCTAGAACGCTCTATACTCTCTATGGTTTTCATAACCTTAATCTAGCATTATGTGATATGGCAAATTGTTATTCTAAAGCTATGTCCTTCTTTGGAGTGATACAACACATCTACACATTATTCTCTTCTTCTCACAAGCAATGGCAAATTTTTAGAGATAAGGTTGAAGGTCTAACACTTAAGCCATTATCACAAACACTCTAGGAAAAGTCATGTGGAAAGTGTCGGACCTATAAAAGAGCAATTTGTACAAATAAGAGATGCTTATTTGACTTGGCAAATATTGCTGAAGATCCTAAAATAAAGAGTGAAGTTGAGTCCTTAGCAATATATGAACTTGAGAATTTTGTATCCTTGCTTGACATGGTCATTTGGTATAAGTTGTTGCATACTGTGGGTAATTTTTTCAAGATAAAAACATGAATATTGATGAAGCCATCAAACTTTTACAAGCACTTATTTTGCTTCTTGAAATGTATAGAGAATTTGGATTTGTTA